CATACCGGTACCCACCGGTATAGCGAAGCTTGGTCTTCCACTTGCTTCAACACTTGACGCAGCTTGACGAGGTGTCTTCTTCACAGCTGCTGTCTTTTCAACAGTCTTCATACATCTTGATCGCTTCGTCGCTTGTCATCTCACCAAGTTCCCTCAAAAGCACTTTGAGCCATACTGCTTCTTTGGTTGCTTCGGAAAGCGCCATGTATTCTGCTTCTGTTGAAGATAGCGCGACCGTCCGTTGTTTCTGGCTTTTCCAGCTGATGCATCCTCCGCTCATCATGAACACATATCCGCTTGTACTTCGTCTTGACTCAATGTCGCCGGCCCAGTCTGCGTCGGTGTACCCGCAGATACGGCTTCCTTCTTCACGTGTAAACTCAAGACCATGATTGGGCGTTGCTTGCAGGTATCTCAGCACACGCTTCAAAGCTTGCCAGTGAGTCGGGCATGGGTCGGACGAGAACTGGGATAATGATCCCACTGCAGCAGCTAGATCCGGACGTGTGGCGACCATGAGATACATGATGCCTCCGACAGCACTTCGATATGGCACGTTGCACATGGTGTCTTCGTGCTTGCATTCTTGTTCACACATGTTCTTGGTTAGCTTCAGGCCGGGATCTTGAGGCGTCTTCACTGGCTTGCTGTTATCCATTCCGAACTTGGTTAACACGGACTTGAGAAACTTGGTTTGTTGTACAGTCACCATTCCCGTCTTACGGTCGTTCTTGATCTCCATGCCGAGAAAGTAATCGAGCTCACCGAGATCCGTCATTTCGAAGCGTTTGCTCAGCGCCATCTTGGTTGACTTGAGGAGTTCGTTGTTGCTGCTGGCCAGGATGAGATCATCGACGTAGAGCACCACGAGAATCATGTCTTGGTCGTCTCGCTTGATGTAGATGCAGTGGTCCGATTCGCACTTCTTGAATCCCATCTTGATCATGAACCCATCGATTGTTTGGTTCCACATGCGAGGCGATTGCTTCAAGCCGTAGAGTGATCTCTTTAGCTTGCACACATAGTCCGGCTGTGTTGCATCCAGGTATCCGTCCGGCTGGTCCATGTAGATGTCTTCGTTGAGGGAGCCGTTAAGAAACGCTGTCTTGACGTCCATCTGATGTAGCATTAGGCCGTACTTAGCCGCCATACTGAGCACCACACGAATCGATGTGAACTTGGCCACCGGTGCGAAAGTTTCTTCATAGTCAACTCCGAATTTCTGTGAGAATCCTTTGGCCACAAGTCTTGCCTTGAAACGTTCAACTTCGCCATCTTGATTCTCCTTTACACAAAAAACCCATCGGCACCCGATGGCCTTGCGACCTTTCGGAAGAGGCACGATTTCCCACGTGTCGTTTCTCTGAAGCGAATCGAACTCCGAGTCACACGCTTCTTTCCACTTGCCGGAGTCGCTTGATTCCATCGCCGACTTGAATGTAGTCGGCGTTTCCCCCACTGAATCAACGATGTAGGCTGCTTCAAAATCCATTGCAGCCGCTGACACATGCTCAAGCGACGGACCTCTGTATGTTCTTCGCTTGGGACTTGGAATGACGGTAGCTTTCTCAAGTGATTGAGTGCGCGTGTGTCTCTTGATGTTGCTCTTCGAAGACCTGGTGTCTTCGTTGTCATCGTCGCTCGAGTCCATGTCGTCGTCAGTTTTACCTTCTTCTTTTTCTTCGTCCTCATCATGATCATCAAACTCAACGACACTTGACTCATCGTTGTAGTTGCGCGGACCTTCATCAAACTTGTCTTCCATGAATGTGGCATCGCGACTGATCTTGATCGCTCCTGTTGACACTTCCTCAAATCGATATGACTTCTGGTGTTCGGCGTATCCCAGGAAACGACAGAGTGATGACTTGGAGTCGAACTTCGCGCGTTTGTCTTGAGGCACTTGAACATACGCGTGGCATCCAAACACTTTAAGGTTGGCCAGAATCGGTTTCTTCATCGTCCACACTTGATATGGAGACTTGTCTTGGTGAATGGCACGTGTTGGACAGCGGTTTCGAAGAAACATCGCCGTCATCACTGCTTCACCCCAGTAGCTCTTTCCCAGTCCAGCGTGTTCCATCATGCAACGCGCACACTCGACCAGCGTGCGATTCATTCTCTCAGCTACTCCGTTTAGCTGAGGAGTATATGGGGGTGTGAACCTTTGTTGTATTCCCCGTTCCGCGCAGAATCGTGCCAGCTTGTCGGACTTGTATTCACCCCCATTGTCGCTTTGAAGGTACTTCACGCGCTTTCCGGTTTGCGTTTCGGCCATCGCAGCGTATTCCATGAACTTCGCCGCAACTTCAGATTTGCTCTTGAGCAGATAGACGACACAGTATCTTGACTTGTCATCAATGAATGTCACGAAGTACCGTTTTCCACTGAAAGTTGCCATCGACATCGGTCCGCATACGTCGCTGTGAATCACTTCGAGGAGTTTGGAGGTGCGAGCTGTAGTGTTTGATTGGAAGCGCACTCTGTTGAAAAGACAGCGGCTGTGAAGAAGACACCTCGTCAAGCTGCGTCAAGTGTTGAAGCAAGTGGAAGACCAAGCTTCGCTATACCGGTGGGTACCGGTATGTACCAGTAAGGGCGAAGTCAGGAAATGACGTCATTGGATGACGTCAGTGGGTGACTTCAGTGGGTGACGTCACTGGATGACGTCACTGCGAATAATAGGCTTAGAGGTAGTATTCAAAGTTGCGAACTAAGTACCTATTACAAATATATATTCACTTTGCGTTTTGCACTCGGACCAAGAAGTCTAAAGTTCATCAGGTTATGAGCCCAAGTTCGTCAGACTCTGAAACCGCCAACAATTCAAGCTTAGCTGCCATGGACGCCTCCTCCCTCCGCATCTCCAAGTTCGATGGAACTAACTTCCACGCCTGGAAGTTCAAGATGCAGATGGTGCTGGAGGAACGGGACCTATGGGAGGTCGTCAGCGGTGAGATCAAGGCGGAACAGTGCGAGACTCAGTTGGACCAAGCGACGTACAAGAGGAAGTCAAGAAAGGCGATGGCAGTGATCTGTCTAGCCATGGAAGATTCCCAGCTACCGTTGGTCCGGTCGGCAAGTGGTGCATGCGACGCATGGTCAAGGTTGGAAGACCACTTCGAGAAGAAGAGTCTGTTGAAAAGACAGCGGCTGTGAAGAAGACACCTCGTCAAGCTGCGTCAAGTGTTGAAGCAAGTGGAAGACCAAGCTTCGCTATACCGGTGGGTACCGGTATGTACCAGTAAGGGCGAAGTCAGGAAATGACGTCACTGGATGACGTCATTGCATGACGTCAGTGGGTGACGTCAGTGGGTGACGTCACTGGATGACGTCACTGCGAATAATAGGCTTAGAGGTAGTATTCAAAGTTGCGAACTAAGTACCTATTATAAATATATATTCACTTTGCGTTTTGCACTCGGACCAAGAAGTCTAAAGTTCATCAGGTTATGAGCCCAAGTTCGTCAGACTCTGAAACCGCCAACAATTCAAGCTTAGCTGCCATGGACGCCTCCTCCCTCCGCATCTCCAAGTTCGATGGAACTAACTTCCACGCCTGGAAGTTCAAGATGCAGATGGTGCTGGAGGAACGGGACCTATGGGAGGTCGTCAGCGGTGAGATCAAGGCGGAACAGTGCGAGACTCAGTTGGACCAAGCGACGTACAAGAGGAAGTCAAGAAAGGCGATGGCAGTGATCTGTCTAGCCATGGAAGATTCCCAGCTACCGTTGGTCCGGTCGGCAAGTGGTGCATGCGACGCATGGTCAAGGTTGGAAGACCACTTCGAGAAGAAGAGTCTTGCCAACAAGCTGTTCTTGCGCCGTCGCTTCTTCACGACAATGATGGAAGAAGGCGACGATGTGCTCGAACACATCAACAAGCTCAAGACGCTGGCGGAACAGCTAGAAGCGGTGGGGGCTCCAGTCTGCGAGGACGATCTGGTGATCACACTTCTCGGCAGCCTGAGTGACTCGTATCAATTCTTGATCACAGCTTTGGAGTCGCGCTCAGACACTCTTAGCTGGGAGCTCGTGACGTCTCGACTGCTTCATGAAGAAATGAAGCGGAAGGAGCAAGGAAGTAAAGGTGATGAAGCTTCGCAAGGTCAAGCGTTCATCACAAGGGACAATCAGCGCAAAGGGCGACCAGTGAAGAAGTCCTGGCCGTGCCACAATTGCGGAAAGATTGGTCACTGGATGGCGGAGTGCCCCTCGCGCATCCAAGAAAACACGGAGAGACACCGGCCACAGCGTGCTCAAGACAGCGGCGACCGCTATCGATCACAACGTGCAAACGTCGCTCAAGAAGAAGACTCGGGCGACTACCTCTTTTCGATCGGTGAAACGACATCTGCGAAATCGAGCGACATCTGGCTGGTCGACTCCGGGGCGACGCAGCACATGACGTGCTCCAAGAAGTTCATGCGGAACTACAAGGGGTTTGACGCTGTGGATGTCCATCTCGCGGATGATGGAATCTGATGAACTTTAGACTTCTTGGTCCGAGTGCAAAACGCAAAGTGAATATATATTTATAATAGGTACTTAGTTCGCAACTTTGAATACTACCTCTAAGCCTATTATTCGCAGTGACGTCATCCAGTGACGTCACCCACTGACGTCACCCACTGACGTCATGCAATGACGTCATCCAGTGACGTCACGTCATTTCCTGACTTCGCCCTTACTGGTACATACCGGTACCCACCGGTATAGCGAAGCTTGGTCTTCCACTTGCTTCAACACTTGACGCAGCTTGACGAGGTGTCTTCTTCACAGCCGCTGTCTTTTCAACACTCCCTCTCGACTCGTTAGCTGCGGCACCTTGGATTCCAAGTCGATCGCGAATGTTTTCAAATTGTACAGCGGCGATCGGCTTGGTCATCATGTCTGCCAGCATATCTTGAGTCGGGCAATACTCCAAAACGACTTCACCTGATTCCACCTTCTCACGCACAAAATGGTAGCGTATGTCGATGTGTTTTGTTCTCTTATGGAACTCCGGGTTCTTGGCGAGAGCGATTGATCCTTGGTTGTCTTCATACATCTTGATCGCTTCGTCGCTTGTCATCTCACCAAGTTCCCCCAAAAGCACTTTGAGCCATACTGCTTCTTTGGTTGCTTCGGAAAGCGCCATGTATTCTGCTTCTGTTGAAGATAGCGCGACCGTCCGTTGTTTCTGGCTTTTCCAGCTGATGCATCCTCCGCTCATCATGAACACATAGCCGCTTGTACTTCGTCTTGACTCAACGTCGCCGGCCCAGTCTGCGTCGGTGTACCCGCAGATACGGCTTCCTTCTTCACGTGTAAACTCAAGACCATGATTGGGCGTTGCTTGCAGGTATCTCAGCACACGCTTCAAAGCTTGCCAGTGAGTCGGGCATGGGTCGGACGAGAACTGGGATAATGATCCCACTGCAGCAGCTAGATCCGGACGTGTGGCGACCATGAGATACATGATGCCTCCGACAGCACTTCGATATGGCACGTTGCACATGGTGTCTTCGTGCTTGCATTCTTGTTCACACATGTTCTTGGTTAGCTTCAGGCCGGGATCTTGAGGCGTCTTCACTGGCTTGCTGTTATCCATTCCGAACTTGGTTAACACGGACTTGAGAAACTTGGTTTGTTGTACAGTCACCATTCCCGTCTTACGGTCGTTCTTGATCTCCATGCCGAGAAAGTAATCGAGCTCACCGAGATCCGTCATTTCGAAGCGTTTGCTCAGCGCCATCTTGGTTGACTTGAGGAGTTCGTTGTTGCTGCTGGCCAGGATGAGATCATCGACGTAGAGCACCACGAGAATCATGTCTTGGTCGTCTCGCTTGATGTAGATGCAGTGGTCCGATTCGCACTTCTTGAATCCCATCTTGATCATGAACCCATCGATTGTTTGGTTCCACATGCGAGGCGATTGCTTCAAGCCGTAGAGTGATCTCTTTAGCTTGCACACATAGTCCGGCTGTGTTGCATCCAGGTATCCGTCCGGCTGGTCCATGTAGATGTCTTCGTTGAGGGAGCCGTTAAGAAACGCTGTCTTGACGTCCATCTGATGTAGCATTAGGCCGTACTTAGCCGCCATACTGAGCACCACACGAATCGATGTGAACTTGGCCACCGGTGCGAAAGTTTCTTCATAGTCAACTCCGAATTTCTGTGAGAATCCTTTGGCCACAAGTCTTGCCTTGAAACGTTCAACTTCGCCATCTTGATTCTCCTTTACACGAAAAACCCATCGGCACCCGATGGCCTTGCGACCTTTCGGAAGAGGCACGATTTCCCACGTGTCGTTTCTCTGAAGCGAATCGAACTCCGAGTCACACGCTTCTTTCCACTTGCCGGAGTCGCTTGATTCCATCGCCGACTTGAATGTAGTCGGCGTTTCCCCACTGAATCAACGATGTAGGCTGCTTCAAAATCCATTGCAGCCGCTGACACATGCTCAAGCGACGGACCTCTGTATGTTCTTCGCTTGGGACTTGGAATGACGGTAGCTTTCTCAAGTGATTGAGTGCGCGTGTGTCTCTTGATGTTGCTCTTCGAAGACCTGGTGTCTTCGTTGTCATCGTCGCTCGAGTCCATGTCGTCGTCAGTTTTACCTTCTTTTTTTTCTTCGTCCTCATCATGATCATCAAACTCAACGACACTTGACTCATCGTTGTAGTTGCGCGGACCTTCATCAAACTTGTCTTCCATGAATGTGGCATCGCGACTGATCTTGATCGCTCCTGTTGACACTTCCTCAAATCGATATGACTTCTGGTGTTCGGCGTATCCCAGGAAACGACAGAGTGATGACTTGGAGTCGAACTTCGCGCGTTTGTCTTGAGGCACTTGAACATACGCGTGGCATCCAAACACTTTAAGGTTGGCCAGAATCGGTTTCTTCATCGTCCACACTTGATATGGAGACTTGTCTTGGTGAATGGCACGTGTTGGACAGCGGTTTCGAAGAAACATCGCCGTCATCACTGCTTCACCCCAGTAGCTCTTTCCCAGTCCAGCGTGTTCCATCATGCAACGCGCACACTCGACCAGCGTGCGATTCATTCTCTCAGCTACTCCGTTTAGCTGAGGAGTATATGGGGGTGTGAACCTTTGTTGTATTCCTCGTTCCGCGCAGAATCGTGCCAGCTTGTCGGACTTGTATTCACCCCCATTGTCGCTTTGAAGGTACTTCACGCGCTTTCCGGTTTGCGTTTCGGCCATCGCAGCGTATTCCATGAACTTCGCCGCAACTTCAGATTTGCTCTTGAGCAGATAGACGACACAGTATCTTGACTTGTCATCGATGAATGTCACGAAGTACCGTTTTCCACTGAAAGTTGCCATCGACATCGGTCCGCATACGTCGCTGTGAATCACTTCGAGGAGTTTGGAGGTGCGAGCTGTAGTGTTTGATTGGAAGCGCACTCGAGTCTGTTTTCCCAGAGCACAACCTTCACACACGTCCCACTTCTTCACCGAAGATATGTCGATGCCAATTCCAATGTTCTTCGTCACGATGCAATTGAGTCCATCGTGACCTATGTGGCCAAGCCGAAGGTGCCAGAGGTACGACTTGGTGCCCCCTTGACATCCCGACGACTTGGCTGCATTTGCTTGTTCCGGCGCCACTGGAGTCATTTGCAGCTTGAACAGTCCTTTACCTTCACGGGCACCAATTTTCCACTTGGTCCCTTTCGCTTCTCCATAGCACCCATCCTTCGTGAACGTCACTGGGCCGACATCCTTGGTGAAGCGGCCGACCGAGAACAGGTTTCTGGATAACTTTGGGATGTGCCACACGTTTGTGAGCACACCTTTCTTCATCCCTTGGGGTGTCTTCATCGACATGACAATGTCCCCACTGCCGATTGCTTGGACGATTCCATCATCCGCGAGATGGACATCCACAGCGTCAAACCCCTTGTAGTTCCGCATGAACTTCTTGGAGCACGTCATGTGCTGCGTCGCCCCGGAGTCGACCAGCCAGATGTCGCTCGATTTCGCAGATGTCGTTTCACCGATCGAAAAGAGGTAGTCGCCCGAGTCTTCTTCTTGAGCGACGTTTGCACGTTGTGATCGATAGCGGTCGCCGCTGTCTTGAGCACGCTGTGGCCGGTGTCTCTCCGTGTTTTCTTGGATGCGCGAGGGGCACTCCGCCATCCAGTGACCAATCTTTCCGCAATTGTGGCACGGCCAGGACTTCTTCACTGGTCGCCCTTTGCGCTGATTGTCCCTTGTGATGAACGCTTGACCTTGCGAAGCTTCATCACCTTTACTTCCTTGCTCCTTCCGCTTCATTTCTTCATGAAGCAGTCGAGACGTCACGAGCTCCCAGCTAAGAGTGTCTGAGCGCGACTCCAAAGCTGTGATCAAGAATTGATACGAGTCACTCAGGCTGCCGAGGAGTGTGATCACCAGATCGTCCTCGCAGACTGGAGCCCCCACCGCTTCTAGCTGTTCCGCCAGCGTCTTGAGCTTGTTGATGTGTTCTAGCACATCGTCGCCTTCTTCCATCATTGTCGTGAAGAAGCGACGGCGCAAGAACAGCTTGTTGGCAAGACTCTTCTTCTCGAAGTGGTCTTCCAACCTTGACCATGCGTCGCATGCACCACTTGCCGACCGGACCAACGGTAGCTGGGAATCTTCCATGGCTAGACAGATCACTGCCATCGCCTTTCTTGACTTCCTCTTGTACGTCGCTTGGTCCAACTGAGTCTCGCACTGTTCCGCCTTGATCTCACCGCTGACGACCTCCCATAGGTCCCGTTCCTCCAGCACCATCTGCATCTTGAACTTCCAGGCGTGGAAGTTAGTTCCATCGAACTTGGAGATGCGGAGGGAGGAGGCGTCCATGGCAGCTAAGCTTGAATTGTTGGCGGTTTCAGAGTCTGACGAACTTGGGCTCATAACCTGATGAACTTTAGACTTCTTGGTCCGAGTGCAAAACGCAAAGTGAATATATATTTATAATAGGTACTTAGTTCGCAACTTTGAATACTACCTCTAAGCCTATTATTCGCAGTGACGTCATCCAGTGACGTCACCCACTGACGTCACCCACTGACGTCATGCAATGACGTCATCCAGTGACGTCACCCACTGACGTCATCCAATGACGTCATTTCCTGACTTCTCCCTTACTGGTACATACCGGTACCCACCGGTATAGCGAAGCTTGGTCTTCCACTTGCTTCAACACTTGACGCAGCTTGACGAGGTGTCTTCTTCACAGCCGCTGTCTTTTCAACAAAATCGTCCATGCAATCGGCAGTGGGGACATTGTCATGTCGATGAAGACACCCCAAGGGATGAAGAAAGGTGTGCTCACAAACGTGTGGCACATCCCAAAGTTATCCAGAAACCTGTTCTCGGTCGGCCGCTTCACCAAGGATGTCGGCCCAGTGACGTTCACGAAGGATGGGTGCTATGGAGAAGCGAAAGGTGATGAACTTTAGACTTCTTGGTCCGAGTGCAAAACGCAAAGTGAATATATA